ACTGCAGCCATTACAGAAACACAACAAAACTGCTCAAAGATTAAAACTAGGAGCCAGACATGGTGGCACACATCTCTAATCCCAAAGGGTTTGAAGACATTAAAATCCTGTCTTAAAAAAGAAAAGAAACAAACAAAAATATCTGCCATATGAACCATCTATCTTCTAGGGCAACATCTGTATATCCAAAGAAAATTAAACAAACCTACTAATGAGACAACTGCACTTCCATGTTTATTGTAGTGCAGAATCAATGTAGGTGCAATGACAAACAGAAAAGAAAATGTGGCATATTCCACAATAATGAATTCCTATAGGGCTCAATTAGAATAAACTCCAATGATTTTAAAGGAATAATTACAAGAACATTTAATTACAGGACACAAATAAACTACCTAAATTCAAAGAGAATATGGACAAATGTATTCTATGCTCTGAAAGTAACTGCCAACTAAGATTATTATATCCTGCAAATTATATGGCATGATTAATGGAAAAGGACAAACCTTATATGGAAAAAAAAAAACTAATACAACCAATGAAAACTAAGCCAGTATTACAGAAGATACCTGAAGTTCTATGCACTGAAGAAAAACATGTATGAGGATATAGGAAAGAAAAACCATGACAGAACAGTAGATATGCAAATAAGGAACACGAGAAAAAGGGAAGGGCCAATAACATGAGAATGAATACACACCCTTCAATAATAATTGTTCTAATCTCTAACACAATAGACTTCAAAGCACAATTACAACAGATCAATTCATACTGAATAAGGGAGTAATTCAAAAGAATATAACCACTTAATAAACACATGCTTTTTACTTGTTAACTTAGCATACAATGCACTAGATATCACAGCATTTTCAAACAAAGTATATTTGGGCAGGTTTTCTTTTCCTCTTCTCTACCCCACCCATCTTCTGGTACCACTAGTTCCCCTGCATGACCTCTGTTACCCCAGTCTCTTTACCTATTTCATGTCTCACAGGTCCTTCTGCCCACTCTTCATCCTTTCTCATCAGCTACTTTTACCCTCTCTGGTGGTCTGAATGAGAGCAGCAAGACTCATGGATGTGCCGCATCTCTGCTGCAGGACATGAGTCCTCCTCTGAGTATATGCTCAGGAGTGGGACAGCTGGGTCATACGACAGTACTTTGAAGTTTTTGAGAAACCTCCATACTGAACTCATAGCAACTCTACTGCGTTGCACTCCCACCAGCAATGAATTAAAGTTCTTCTCCCCCCCATTCTCCCCAGCATGTAATAATAAAAAATGTCCCAACAAGAAGCTGCTGAGATGGTGTCTGCCATCAAGCCTGAGGATCCGTAGGACACAGAAGGCAGAAGAGCATGGAATATAAGAGAAGACTCAACAGTATCGACCTTCCTGGGCTGTGATAAGGACTGTGTTAATACACACAAAGGCCTTATAACAGTGCCTGCCAAACAATATATGAATCATTATTATTATTTACTCACCTAAAAACATTTTAAAATTCTTAGATTCTCAAGTCTGGGGACCTTGAAAGTGGTTCTCTCCTGCCACCTTGTGGGAGATCGAGGTCTAACGTCAGTTATCAGGTTTGCACTTTAGTGCCTCTACCCACTGAGCCATCTTACTGGCCTTTTATTCTAGCAAAGGTTCAATGTGGTCCTTAAAATGACAGGACTGTCACCGAGCATACATAAACCCTGACCAAGTGAGCAGAGTCAGCAGTCTCCAGAAGTGCACTGTTTAACCACCTTCTTCTGAAGACCGGGTCCAGATTTTAATGCTCAATTATGAAAAAAAAAAAAAAGCAAAAGCCTGGGAATGTACTTGGGGAAGCACACCAGGAAAACAGACATCTCAGATGGAGGACAGTCAAATGAGCTGGAAAGAATAAGGACTGAGCAGTGTCATCTTGAAATGGCTATACTTCCTCTGTTTTAAACAGGAGGACAGATGAGGGCAAACTCAGCTTAGTAAGAAAGAACTATATAATAAACAGTAAACTCACTCTGGGACAGTATGGCAACTTCCTAAAACAGCACATGTCTCGCCTTGTTTCCACAGATGCAAAAGTGAAAGCTAAGTGTGTCCTAAGCAGGGCTAGTGCTTTAGGTCGATTAGACTTCAGGCAGGGCTTACAAAAGTCTCTTTCCTATTTAAGACTCACAGACTAATCTGAACCTGCAGGTGACTGGAGCAGATGGTAGAGATGGGACAGAGGAGCGCAGGAAGCAGAAAAAGAAATAAGGAAGCCCCGCTCTCACTGCACCAGCACAGCTCAGTGCTGCTACTGTCACTCATGCCCATCTTTTGGACTTAGATGTCCTCCCATAAACGTCACACTTGGGAACCATTAGAAAAGCTGTCAGAAAAACTGTTAATTAAGCTCTTTAGTGACACAAGTCACTGGAAAGCACCTTCCTTCCTCCCCTCTGCCTGCTCTTCCTCCCTCTCCCAGCCCATGTCCCTCCCACTGAGTTCCTTCTTCACCCATCAGTTCCTACTAATAAATGTATCAGAACAACTGATACATCCACACAGATACACTGTTGTTAACAAATCCCACATTCCATGTTAGGGCTCATTTCACTGTAAATGCTATGGTCTGGGGAGTTTCATAAATCTGTGGATGCATTTACACGGCATGGAATTTCCCTCTACCTATAAGTAAAATGTGGGATGCGCTCATGATTAAGCAATCTCCTGAATACTCCTTTTACAAAACAAACTCTTAACTCCTGAGCAATCTCTCCAGCTTACAAAACAAACTCTATAACTATTGAGCAATGTATTTTTTTCCTAAGCATAATATTAGAAAATAACTATTTTTCAAGATGGCTTCACATAATTTTCTCATTTTTCTAATCTAAAAATTCTAATTTATCATATTACTATACCAAATAACCATAAAATGTTGACTTTTCATTTTAATATCAAACTATATATTTACTCAAAATGGTATTTATTTTATATATATATCTTATAAGGGGCAGGAATGTAATTAAGAAACTGATTCCTCTAAATCAATTTGACATTCACAGTACTGTGTGATCTTATCAAAATACTGTTATATTACTAAATACCTCAAATTAATATTCAAACTGAAATGCTTTACCAAAATTTTACTTGAGGGAAGGAAAGAGAAAACTAGAAGAAGAAGTGCCTAGCTAACTGGCGTCTAATTGCATGCATTGTAGCTTTTCTGCTTCATCCTGAAAAGGAAGGCTTCTGTATAATGAAATCCATCCAGTCTGATCATTTTGTACTGTAGAAGTGCACTGACATCACACTGTACCCTACTAATTATATAATTATGTATTCATTTCAAATGCATTTAAAGAAAGGAGTAAGATCCACCTTGCATTGAACGATCGGTTCATTATAATTTCATTTTACAAATATTTTGAACATCTTTAATCAACTCAGTCCTGTTTCATCTTTTTTTAGGTTAACTCTCCATTACACACACAAATATCCTGTCTTCTCTAGCTTTCAGTTGCTTCCTTGGTCTAATTCCTAGCCATAAAACTGATTTGTTTCTTAATGTTCATTCTAATGTACAAGGCAAGATACCAGAGACCTCATGAGCCTCCTTAAGGTAAACCATTGACTGGGGTGAGTACAGTGATGGAGCACTCCCCAGTGGAGGACGAGGCTCAATCCCTACCAATGCAAAAACAGCAGAACTGAGCCTGCTTGGGAGTCTGATGCAGGAGGATTCAAAGTTCAAAGTTGGGCTGGACAAAGTGAATTTCAGGCCAGCCCAAGCAGCTTATCGAAACCATCAAATTGAAGACTGAGAAGGGAGCAGGGGCCATGACTCAGTAGGTAGAGCACTTGCCTAGCATGTATGAGGCTCTGGTTCAATCTGCAGTAACACAAAAATGAAAAACAACACAGCCTCACTTATTCTTTAGCTTTCTGTGCCTAAGTTTCCTCATTTGCAAATTAAGAACAAAAAACTCTACATTTTCTAACTGTGTATGTGGTACCCATCAGGTAGTAATTTATTGAATGAAAGAATAATAAAATTCTTCAGCATTGCTGGAGCAGTGTATGTGAAAGACTTAGCACATTAGCAGGCACACTAAAAGCTCACATTAAATAAGATTATTGTCACTGCCCAAACTTTCAGTGTGTCCTATTTCTCATCACAATTCAAAACATTTTTGTTGCATTTTCAAAAGAAGTCTGTGGTTATTAATTAGCCTTATTGTGTCTCCAATGCCTTCTCTTGCAGAGTCTCAGCTTATGTCTATGCTTTGGGAGCCCCACACTTCATTACTACCTTTCTTTGCCCAGCCCAATAACAATTAGCTTTGCACTCTTACCTCAAAAAGCCCAGAAAGCCCTTTCCAATCTCTCTGGCTTCAGTCACCCTTCTTCTTCCTGGAACCCTGTCTTTATTTACTTTGTATTATCTACTGCTGTCTAAGCTTTTGACAAACTTTATAGATTCCATTTCACCTTTTACTTTCATACCCCTAACTGGCCCCAAAACAAATGGATGCAGAGTGCATTTAGTACAAAGTGGGTGATCTAAACTGTTAACACAATGTGGTGGCACAGGTAGGTAAAGGTGCTCTACACTGTTAGGAGTGATGATCATCTTCTTTTCACCCTTTCTTATAGTTAGCAGGCATTCTATGACTCAGCAATCTTAAAACTGTTTTTACAGATCCTAAGACCCTAAAAGCGTTCTTGAGCGTATATGAACAAAAGAATGCATAAACAGATGTCAGTGAAATGTTAAGGGTTACTTATTTTCTGTATCTATAGCTTTTGTGTTTTAATAATTCCGTGTTCACATAAGACATCAGAGTGACCCTCTGCTGCACTGTGCCCAGTGTCCCCTAATTAATGTTTACTGCTCAGTGTTTTCCAATAACTGGCATTTTCATAACGTTATGTTCAAAGCACATGACTTCTATTGCAAAAGTTATACTATCAATGTATTTAAATATATGTAAAACACCAAATATAATTTTAAAATATTCTTACCTAATCCTTTTTGTCCTGGATTCTTTGCAAAATTAAAAGTAAACTGGTAAAAATCCTTAAATCGTCCTGGTTCTTTCAATTCTTGTTCCATCTTGGGTATTTGGGCCTTTAGTTTTTCTATGCTGTCACATCTACATTATAAAATTAAGTTTGTAAACGGTTAACTTTTTACTATAAATTAAAAAACTTAACTTAATTATTCCTATGAGGGCTAGCATTTGTTTCCTAGAAATTACTTTTTAAAAATCAGATCTATGGGATTTCATCTTTTTACACATAGTAAGAAGGCAGTCTTCCTTAGTCACAGGGGATGTAAGTCCCTCACTGGTCCCTGAGACTTTGGTAAGCACCATGCCTCAGATAATGCGGCTTCTTCTTGCACATATATAGCTATGACACAAAGTGTAATTTATAAATGAGACAAAGCAGGACATTAATTGGAACTAATAAGAAAATAATGATGCAGTAATGAAAATGATATGTATTCTCTATCTACTTAAAAGGAAAAGCTTCTTGGGCACATCTTAATTGTCAGCATCACTACTCCTACACTGTTGGACCATTGGGAAATAAAGCAGGGCGACCTGAACACAAGGACTGGGATAGCAATCTGGTAACTGAGAAAACCACTAAGTGACTACCAGACAGTCAGGGTACAGTGAGGATATGCTGGACAAAGGGAAAGCTTATACTTCAGGCAGGACAGCAGGATGGTTTAAAAATCTACTCAGAACAATGCCCAACTTAAAACTTAGGGATTTTTTTTTTTTCTGGAAACTTTCAACTAATAATTTGGAAACATAGTCAACTCTGAGTTACTAAAATTTCAAAAAAGCTGCAGATAAAGGGTGACTCTTGTCTAGAGTTAGATTAACAAAGACAATGGAATGATGAAGTGTTAGAATTACTACTTCTAAAACAAACTGGCTGGTCTTTTTATATCTATTAATTCACCAAACTCACACACTGACTAACAAACTCCACTTCTGCCTCAGTGAATAGCTAAGAACGTACACAATCAGCCCCCAGCCACTGCTCTCACAGTGGTGGGTGCTGCTAGCACCAGTTAGTCATAGGTCTAGCTTCCAAACAACTACAAGGTCTCTTGCTAAGGAAGCATTCTTCTTGAACACTTGCTTTTAATAATATTAGCTAAAACCTGTACTGCCTTCAACTGAATTATTTAAAGAAGGAATCAGATGTTTTCTGTTTACAAAACTTTCAAAGAGCAAAGGTCTATGTACCACATTAGTTTCCTCATAACAATGGCCTTATGATGAAAATGTCCCATTTCTTAAAGATTCTACAAGCAAATCAACCTGCTCTGTCCTATAAACATTTCTGCTTTTTATCTTCCTCCTATATTCTCTATAACATTTCAGGTCATATTTTATATTACATTCTCCAGAAACAGTGACATTGCTTTTCCATAAGTTCTAGTGACATCTGTCTGTCACAGAAGTCCAGCAGGCTCTAGCTGGGCTGGTTTGGCTATAAGACAGGGTCTGGGCACATTATCAATTTATTGCCTCTTTGTGTTACGACCACCCTTCTCTACCTTGCTTTGCAGTGATAAGCCACAAACCATTGAACATTGCTTTTCTTGCCAGCTAACCTGATGTCAAGGTCTACAAGGCCAGGAGAGGAATGGAAATTTTTACCCAGGTTGTTGTAAGTAGAGGAAAATGGCTTTAGTGTATGAAAGGTCCCAGCAGTGTCTACCAGTGGTGACAACTCTTATAGCAACCCACCCACTGACCTCTAAGCAATTTTTTCCTGCATCGAAGCAGTTTTTGAGCAGGCACCCCACTCCCTGCAGCCCTGCCTCTTCCCCCAGGGACTGAATTTATGCAGGAGTTACCACCTCTTTACACCTTAGGGTTTTCTTTTACACAGTATAGTACTTCTTTACACGTTCTGTGGTCAAATTACTGGTGAGGCTGTATCCTGACTGGGCCCAGTTTTCCAATGTCCCTCACACTTAGTAAGCGGAGTCCTGCTTTTAGTCCTGAGTGGAATATCACCTGTTTTTATGATCTGTTTTGGGTCATAAACAGTACTTCCCTCACAGAAGTGGTTATGAAGAGGTAGGAAAAGCAGTTACTGGGATGAAGCCATGCTCTGTTAATGTGAGCCTATTCTGTTTTGTTATATTTTGGAGACAGGGTCTCACATTGCAGCCCAAGCTGGCCTTGAGTTCCTATGTGGCTGAGGATGACCTGAACTCCTGACCCTCTTGGATCTGCTTGCCAAAAGCTGGGGGATCCTTGGGCTTCCCACTTGGCCCAGCTTTCAGGCTATTTCTGCAGTCCCACCAAACAGATTGTCAGCAAAACTTGGACCTATGACTTTTCAACCTACCTATTCAAACACATTCAGCTAAACCAGCCAGCAAGGCACTAAGTAGAGCGAAAAACACTTAATACCCTCTAGTTTTTAAATTCTACATTTTACTAATTTAGAGTACATGGCCTCAAATTAAGAAATTATTTACTTGCTCATAAATATTAATGTCAGATAATTTGAATATTAGTGGCTCTCTCCTAGGAACAAATGGTTAAAGGGCAATGCAGTTAGAGGAGGGTACAAAATTATACAGGTATTTGGCAAACCCAGAAAATACCAGAGAAACAACATACTGACTCAATACTGTTTGTGGGCTAGTAAAAACAAATTTCCATTTAAAAACAGAAGAAAAAAATGAGCTCCATCATTGTCATAGCTAGTGCCTCATCTCCTATGGAAGTTATGTACTCACCCTAACTCTGTCATGCCGTCCATGAACTCCTGTTTGGAGAACTCACACTGTGTGGCTGCCCTGAACTTCCATGCAATGATCAGCACACTGATGCTGGCAGGATCGAGGGCCAGGTCATCACAGAACTGCTGTATACCATCTATTCCAATTTTATTTTCATCTTGAGGATCTTTAAAGATAGCAATAAAATACAAAATTAGTGCCATACTTACTTATAATGTTTTGTTCATAACAAAAAGATAGTTTTATTTTCCATTTTAAAATAAACCACAATATACCAAAGACATGAAGCAGTATTGTTTTTATTGATGTTTCCCCATATTAAAACAAAAGTCACTTTTAAAGTGTACAAGAAAGTGTAAAAGTAGTCAGACATTTAATTTTTTAAAATCCCACTTATGGAGCCACAGGCTTGGTGCCACACTCCCAGTACTAGGGAGGCAGAAGCAGGTGGGTTTCTGTGAGTTCAAGGCTAGACTGGTCTACATAGTGAGTTCCAAAATACCCAAAGTTACATAATTAGGTCTTAACAAAAAACCCCACCTCACTTATTCATGTGAAAATGTTACACACACAAATAAAATCAGACATGCGTATACAAAAATCAAGGGATTTTAGGTCAACACACCCATATTTTATTTAGTCAAGCATTCAAAATTAACAATATTAAATGAGAAAACTTTTATTCTTAAAACAAAATTCATTTTACCACAATCACTTAAATTCTAGTAAAACGAATATACAATTCAACCTTAATCTCAACAGTCTAAGTATCTGATGTTTAAAACAGGAAAACTGTAAAGTTTTAAAAACTAGAAAGATATATACAAAGAAAGGGAGTCCCCTATACTGCTACCAAATATGACTTGCTAAAAATCTAAAGTATCTGGTAGTGACTCTAGCAGTTACGATGACACACATCAGGCTGAATATGCAGTTCAATGGTAGAGCACTTGCCTGGCCTGCACGATGGCAAAGCCCAGGATTTAATCCCAGCATTACTAAAAATATACAAAAAATAAAGCAAATCTTTGGAACATAAATTATGCATATACTACAGTACCATTTGGGGGAAATTTTGAAAATACGTCTATATATGTCTATGTAAACAAAAGACATGCATGTATTCATGCTGGACTATTAAATATAGGTTACCCTCAGGAGAATAACGAACAGCTGAATTGTGAACCTGAACCTTTTTGGGTTTTTTTTTTTTTTTTTTTTTTTTTTTGCTTTTTCTCCCTTTTCAGTGATGGTCTTAGAATTTAGGCCAGGCTAAACCTGGACTCTCAGTCTGACTGCCTCTGCCTCTGAGATATAGGCTTGTACCTTTATGCCCAGCTATTCAAGTTTTTAAAAGTGTGTGTTACGTTACAAAAAGTTATTATACAGACTTCCTTAAAACCTGGCTCAGCAAGTTTTACAAACATAAGCTTAGGAAAAATTGCCTCTAATCTTCCATTCTCAAACTATGAGATGGGGGATGGGGCAAGAAGGGATTAAGTACAAAGGAGAGCCACTTCTAAGACCTTTCTAGTCCCAGGGCCTACTGTGGAGCTGTGTCTCAGACAAGCCCTTCACTTGGGAAAACTTCACTCAAAGCATTTAAGTCATGTGGCACTTACCTTTGTATCTATTGTAAAGTTGTTCTAGCTTCTTCCTGTCCAACGATCCTTTTACACTCTCCCGTATATAAAGTTCTGGATTTTGAAAAAAATTATCTGTTGCAACATCTAGCTTCCAGTCATTTTGAGAAAGACAACTCACTGCAGTTTTCTCACTAGACTGTGTGAAGATCATAAACTGACGAACTTTATCCTTCTGCGATGATTTCAACTTGTTCTATGAGAACCAGAAAACAAACTGAAACTGGGGAAAACCATACATCACCACACATCTCAAAGTCATCACCATTAGGAATGGTTTTCTTCACAAAACATGGAAGCATTTTTTCCTAGGACTTATCTGTGGTCTATCATTAACCAGTAAGACAATTTAAAAGTATCCAAAGCACAACATATGGCACAGTTCTGGAAAAGAAAGCCAGTGTAGACAGAACAAGACTAGGCAGCCTCCTTGTCAAAGATACCATGCTGTCTGGGTCAAACCGCCATGGGGAGGAGAACTAAACAGGTATTGCTGCCATCCGAATGCCCAGTCTAGTACTACCTGCCTGAGTCTGTGCCATTCTCACCAAATGCAGGCAGGTAATGCAATATGAACAGCCTACCTTTCTCCTAGATGGGTGTTTAGGAAACATATAATTCTTACAAGAATTTCCTCATGTAAGAACCATCTACCTACTTAGATACTTCCTTTAAAAAGGTTCTTTTAATTACACATTTATTTAGACAGCATGTGTGTGTGCACACATGTGCACAAACTTATGGGCACAGGCATATCAAGATGCCAAAGTGGATGGCAGAGGACAATCTGTAGGAATCAGTCCTCCCTTCTCCCATAGAGATCCTAGGGATAGAATTTAGGCTATCAGACTTGGAGGCAGGTGGGCACCTTTGCAAGCTGTGCCATCTGGCTGGTCCCTGACATACTTCTCACTAAGAGTCCCTTCTCTTTCTCTAGAAGGAATCATCTTTTTCTTTGCTTGTGCCTAAAAGGTGTCAAGTTTTCACTTCTCTGACTTAAGCCCAAAGCAAAATGAGACAGGGCCATCAGGCTCTCCACTCTTTCCTGCTGTCAAAGAATGTGTGTGCTCTCTTCCTCCCTCTAAGCTGGGATCCTGGGCAAGGCATACAGGGCACTCTTCCTCCTTCAAGACCCAATTCAGTTTCCTCAGCAAAATACTTGGCCTATTTTAATGCTACAAAGTGAACGGAGGGTCAATCACATTAAAGATACAGTATTCTGTCTTTTAAGCAACACAGCTAAGACCCCACCCTCAACCCATTCCCCCCCCCCCCAAGCTCTGACCTGGTCCAAACTGATGAATCCCAAATTCCAGTCTCTGACTGAACTTGGGGAAAACAGACCCAAAAGGCTGAGTTCTCAGTTCACAAAACTCACCCAACTTGTGCAGGAGAAATGAGGGAAGAACAAAATAACCTTACAAATTCAAGTCTGGTAATTTTTCTAGGAGCCTCCCTGCTTGATGGCTATTTAAAAGCTTTTGAGAATCTCAGAGAGACTATCAAAGAAAAATAAGCATTACCACTATTACAGAGTGGAAATAAGACTGTAAAATCAAGTATAAAAACAAAGCCTTTCTCTCAGAACATGAAAAACATTTATGCCCATGAGCCTCATCTGTAACTCTCTCCTCTCTTGGCAAATGTTAATGTATGAAGTTCAGATTACAACTTCAACCACTATCCTCCACTGAAACAGAAATTGTAAAACATACTAGCCTGATAACCCTACCCCCTCTCGATACCACCTAAGTTATAGCCCACTGGTTCTCAACAGCTCTAGCCTGTCACATGAGGTACTTCCCTCAAACACCCAGGATTATTCTTATCCTTGAAATGACAATGACAATTCAATGACAATCTCAAGGAAATAACCAAAAGGAAATAATTTAAATTCCCAAAAGTTAATTAAGTGAAAGCAAACAAGAAACCCATTTTTAACCTTGGAAATTATTCTGAAACACAGCATACCTTCTCCCTAGAACCACAGGGTATCTGACATGTTTATATCCCTTTAAAGTGGCTGAGTGTCACTGTGATCACCACAGCCATCGGATTGGAAACTACTTTTGAATTAACCCTGATATAATAACTTCTTACATACTCTCCCCCCATCTTCCAAAGTTACAGGCGGCAATACAGGTAAGCTGAGATTTTAATCAAACAGTATTGAGCCCAGTATGCCGCTCCCTGCTGAAGACAGGAACTAAAAAGCAGAGTTTAAACTATTTCTACAAGCTAAGAGCTGTTCATTGCATTGGTGACTTCCTTACAGAAGTAGCTATTAGAAGAGAGTGAGGAAAAGATAAAAGGCTCTTGTCTAACAACATTGTACTAACTACTTAATTTCATGCCATACCACTTAGTTTTTAATACAGTAACTATTCTGCCTGCTCCAAGTCTAAACTTCTGGTCTGTGGGGAAATAAACACAGTCTTCAAAAGCAATCTCATAAACAACTGGGCAGCACCTGGCAAAGAACTGATAGTAGAGGGGTGGAGAGAGGGAAAGGGCAGTGAAGGCTGCTTTCAGCCTGCCCCTGCAGTGTCTGATAAGCACCTCCACTTCTCATGATGGGCTGGCTGCCTGTCACATTCCTCTCAGCTCTGCACCCAGAGAAAGTTTTAGTGCCCATTTTCCTCCGGTGATGTACTTTCTGCAGACCACAGGGCTCTCCTGGGTAAACTACATCTGCCCTCTGCTCAAGCTGGTTAGAACCTCACTCACCCATCCCCTTTTCCCAGGCCACACAGGTGGTATTGGGCAAGATGTTCCAATTCCACTGGAGAATGGCATCAAAGTTGGCCAGCTTCAGAAGGGTCACTAGATTAAGCAGAGCATTACTGAGAAGCCGGAGATAAGAGGAGGGGTTTTAAAAAAGAAAAGAAAAAAAACAAAACAAAACCTACAGAGGAAGAAAAAGCAGATTTTTCTTTCTTAAATTTGTTTTTTTTTGACACAGGTTTCTCTGTGTAGCCTTGGCTCTTCTCAAACTCAGAGATCCGCCTGCCTCTGCCTCCTGAGTGCTGGGATTAAAGGCATGGGCCACAACACCTGGCTGTAGGTTTTCTCTATTTCTATTAAAAAGCTAGTGGAGTCCTTTTTCCATGAGACAGCCTCAAAGACTTAGCAGTAAATGTGTATGCTAGATATCCTTTACTATACATGGAAGAGGACTAAACAGAGCAGCTGGTAAATGGGAATATGCAGTACAACCTTCAGTCTTCACATGCTAAAGTAACTTGGACATTCACTATCAAGTTTTCAAGAGCAGTCAAGAGTGGTAAGCAGTCAAGGACATAACACTCAGGCTGTATTAAAATTCCTAGTTCTATTCTAGATAAGAGAGATAGAGAGAGAGAGAGATAGAGAAAGAGAGAGAGAGAGAGAGAGAGAGAGAGAGAGAGAGAGAGAGGAGGAGGAGGAGGAGGAAAAGGGAAAAAGAGGGATGGGAAAGAAAACCTGAAAAAATTCCATAATCTCAACAATAAAACTCATCTCTTTGCTTTTTAAAAAAAAAAAAAAAAAAAAAAAAAAAAAAAAAAAAACTGCCTAGAATGTGAACACACACCACTTTGTGAGGGAAGATTTAAATCTTCCCTCCTTTTTTTTTAAACTCGATAAATTTTAAGAATCACATTTAAAAAAAAAAATAACCATTCCAAGAAGATGGTGTGGTTCAGTGGTAGAGTAGCTACTGAACTTTAATCTCCAGTACCAAAATGAGTAGTTTATCTGAAAAACCTCAAATACGATGTTTTGGAGTTCAGCATATTTTACTGCTGAACTCACAAAACAAAGACTAGGTTAACAGGTTACTGTATAACAAAACATAATAATGACAGGAAAGTCTTCCTATTATGTTCCCCAAGACAAATCATTTACATGGAAAATGACCTCCTGTCCAACTAACACTTCAAATTTCCAAAACAGAAATAACTTTACTAAGGAAATGGCACTTGTAAAAAAAAAAAAAATCATTCACTTATTTTTCACCCAGAATATTTATCTTCTTAGCTTACCCCTAAGCTTCAACTTCAATCTCAACTGCAGAAAGAAACTCAGGCCCACAGTTCTGTACTTATTTTTATTATTTAGAATATTCTATGTGTGCGAGTGTTTTGCCTGCGTATGTCCACCACCCATATGTTTGGTACCCATGGAGGCCAAAAGAGGGAGGCCATCAGATCCTCTGGAACTGGAGTCACAGAAGATTGTGAGCTGCCACAGGGATACCTAACCTGGGTCCTCTGTAAGAGCACTGTCTCTTACATCCTGAGCCATCTCTCAGCTCTGAAATTACTTTTTGGAATGCAATTCTAGTTAGCTGATACCTAGTTCACAAAAGTCAATGCTTCAGAATATCCGAATACCTTAATGAGGTCAGGCATAGTGGAAAGGAGGCAGATCTATGAGTTCAGGTCATCCAGGCTAGCCAGGGCTACTTAAATTCTGACTCAAAATAAAAACAAAGTAACCTTAACAATCCTGTGTCACTTTCATCAAATGCTCTGTGTACAGCAGGTGCCACTGAGAACAGCCTGTAGAGGCATTTGCTATTAAGCCTGATGACCCAAGACCCAGGTGGGTAGAAAGAGAACTAACTCTGACAAGTTGTCCCAACTTCCAAATATGCACGCACTTTGGCACAAATGAAGTCCCACACATAAATACATAAATGTAATACATTTTTTAAAAAGCTCTGTGTGGCTAATGTGATTAGCATGTGATTAACATTTTCAAATTCCTATGAGATTTATAAGAGCTAGCTTTAGTCTAGCAAGCTATGTTTTCTTATGTAAGACTGAGTCTACCGTTAACCATACTCAACCACTCAACTGGCCTTCCCACAGATCACAGGTCAAAAGTGCAGGAAAAGTCAATTTGATGGGGTGACCTGCTGCAACAGAACACTTTTACCTAGGGACAAAGTTCTACTCCAGGGAAGTCAGGCTAAGGTAAGAGCAAATTGTCCCTATCTTTCCTTTGGCTGCAAAGGCACACTATCACTTGGCTTGTTGAAACTGAAGTCTCCTCTCAGGCCTACCAGGCAGGTTTCCATTCCACTCCTACAAAACTAATCTCTGCTTCAGTAAACAAAGTTTTACAGTTCTAGGCATTTAACTTAATTAACCTTAACTTGTATGTAGTAAGGAGTCTTATAGGTCCATAAATTGAGCATGAATAATGGGGGAGGATGACAAAACAAATTTAAATGGTAAATGAAAAATAATGACAATAATAATAATAATAATAATAATAATAATAATAATAATAAAACTTGTATTTATTTGAGCTACTACCG